GTAAGAGAGGAAGGTTAGAGAGAAGGTGTTAGAGATGTAGAAAATGGGACAGCAGAGGATGAGATGGTTAGATAGCATCACTGAAGCAATGAGCATGAAACTGAGCAAACTCCAGGAGGCAGTGAAGGACAGGGAGGCCCGGCACAATATGGCTCATGGGGTCACAAAGAGTCGGACACGACTTAACAACTGAACAACAAATATATTGTTAAAATGACTCTGAGCATCACTTTTGTAATTTGTAATTTTGTAATTCTTTTTTCCTTTTAACAGACGTGTTAATTTATCCATCGGGGAAGGGCCGCTGCCAGTGAAAAGAGGCTATTTTTACATGCAGAAGGCTTTCGGTTCAATTCCTCATCTCTCCGTTTGTGGTAGGGTTCACACAGCACGTTAAACTCAGGTTAAGTATCAGGGCTGCTATGTTCACCTAACGTGCTGGGCTCAAACAAATACATTCTATTATGTTTGAATGTGATAACTGGATTCCTGTAACATGCTAAGTAATGGTTGGGGTTCCATGATACCCTGTACCACCAATTACCCATCCCCATTTGAGTTTAGTTGGTTGGTTGGTTGGTTTACGTGCCATCAAGTCGGTGTCGACTCTTAGCAACCGCATTAGATAGATTTTCTCCATGACAATCTGTCCCTAACGTGGTCTTTCAGGTCTTCCAGCAGAAGCCTAGCTTAGTATGCAAACACAGTCAATCTATTACTGTTATTATTGCTATTTACCAATTTTGGGCAACATTCTCAGGGCTGATTCATGTGACATGCTAAACCATAGCTCGCTGGATAAACCAAAATAATGAGCTTGCACAATGCACTGAGCTGAAACTGAGGAAACTGTGCAATGGTTTAGTGTGTTGTGTGAACCTATCTTGCTTGGCTAGGATCCACAGCTCAGCAGCACGGTGCATACAGAGTACAAATGCAGCTCCTGAGTCAACCTCCCCATCTTCCGCTTGGAAAGAATCCCTGATCAGTCAGCAGCAGGGGCATCCATGGGGCAGGTCAAAAAAGTCAAGATGGTGGCTACAGCCGCACAATCGAAGCCCACATCTTTTTTACATCCATGGCACATAGAAAAAGGGCAGGGCTTCCATTGGTTGTGGCCACCATCTTGACTTTGTTGACCCCCACCCCTGACTATGGCTGAGAAAAATGGCCATCCCTTTCCCAGAATTCTCTGCAATTTGATAGGCAGGTTGGGATACCCGGAATTTCCGGAAGGGGCTGAAGTGCCGGACTTCCTCCACCATGTACTGCTGGAAGAAGGGGTGGGAGAGGGCATCATGCACGGTGTAACGACTCTCCGGCTTCACCACTAAACAGTGGGCAATCTGTGGGCAGAAGAACAGAGTTTTGTTGCAGAAGCTGAGGCACGGCTTTTGTGAATGCAATGGAAAAACACAGCGGGTCTAGCATTTCAGTTAGTGCTAAGTATTCAGAGGATCCCCATAGGATCTCATTAGACAGACAGTGAACACAGAGACCATTTTCCTACTGGGCCCAAGTGCTGTATTTTTGGCATTAGGGTTATTCCTTAGTCATCAGCTCTCTTTCAAATGGGGCTGTGCACATTTGATCTGCCTAGTCCAGCCCTTCTGGTCCCCTGGCTTCCAACCAAGAAGCCACAGATAAAAGTAATGGCTTCCCTTGTTGTTCAGTTGTCTCTCACATATGGCATTCCAGGGTACGCTGCCTTTGAATATGGAGGCCTCACTAATCCCCATTAGTAAATCTCATCTCCTCCTCCATGAAACTATCTATTCTACTTTCTCCATCCTTTTTACAAGCTTGCTGGTTCCAGCAGATCCCTTTTTCTCTGTATCCCAAATTCCCCAATGCTTTTAGCCTTCCCTCATTAAGCAGGTACTCCAATTACTTTTATCTTTTCCTACCCAGCATTTTTCTCCTTCACTTTTCTCCAACAGCCTCGGGATCCATCCAGGTGAAAGTCACCTACCAAGTCTTTGACGGTGTCTGACTGGTCATCCCACTCAGGAGACCCAAATTTGTAATCTCCATTCATGATCATCCTTAGCATCAACATCTGCTTCCGGTGCCAGAATGGAGGGGATCCGGCCAGCAGGGTGTACATGATGACTCCTGTGCTCCACCTGAAACAAGGAAACCGTCTCTTCCATCACGAGAACTGATTGAACGTTTTTGAAGACTGATGTTTGTGAACTGCCTCGGCAATAGAACATTTTAACCATCGGCAAACAAAACGTGCGTTGACCAAATCTGAATTTTTGTTTCCTAAGCTACATCATACAGTAGCAGCCTTTACTGATCAGCAAAAAGATGAACAAGCAGGTTGATGGAGGAGAAACATCTTCACTGCAGCAGGACGACAGATTTTTCTGGCTCTTCTCTTCTAGCCCCCAGGGGGCTACTAAATATTTTAGCAGGCTAATTATTGATATGGTCTTATTTACCCAGCAGTTGCACCACATATTGTAATTATTACTCACAAAGAATTATCTGTGCTGATACTTAAAGCAATCAATTATTCTTCATCCAGTTTATGCTGGAATTGCACCAATCACCGGATGGAATGATACAAGGTATAATCCAACATATTAAGAGGGCGTAACTTTGGACAAGATTGCTTTGGGGAAAACTGACATTTAAGAAAGCAATAAAATGGACATAGACAAAATATCATATCCATAGAACAGTATTTTTCAACTTTGGTGACTTTAAGATGTCTGGACTTCAAAGTCCAGACATCTTAAAGTTGCCGAAGTTGAGAAACATTGCCATAGAAGATTGGATGGGAAATAAAGTAGGTTCCCCTAAAAGCTACATTTACTTTTTCATTAGGAGAAGTTTAGCTGGATTCACATTCTAAGTTATGTTGTACCTAGACATGGTTTATTGAATAAGCCGCTATTTATTATGTTCATGCATCACACTAAGGCATGAACTGTGTAGGATCCTCTCAATATCCAAAACTCACATACAATATTCTTAAACTGAACCTAAATAACCCAAACTATTGTTTAGGGTAATGGGTGAACTTGCCGCTTACATGTCAATTTCTTTCCCATAACCTGGATGATCTGAATCCATGGAACATTCTAGTATTTCTGGAGCCAAGTAGCCAGGAGTTCCACAGATCTCTGCAAGAAAAGCAATAAAAAGTTGGACTGAAACTTTGGGGCCCTTGTTTCTGGAGATGCAAGTCTTGCTGCACCCCCGGGCTCAAAGCAAGTCGGAGCAAACTCAACCAGGTCAGTTAAAAGCTGCATTCATACAATGTGTGAAACTCAGTTCTCCTTCCTGGCTTAGCATGTCATATAAGCCTAGCCCGAACTGGTTACATTATGGTTCCACATACCAATGAAATCCAGTAAATGGGCATTATAGGAAGAGAGCTGTAATGTAGCAAAAAATCAGGAGTCTGGCAGCACTCTGCCAGAATAGCAAGTTTTAATAAAAGCCACGAGCTTTTGTGAGCTGCGGCTCATTTCATCAGATACGGGATAAACAGAAATGGGTTAATTCAGTCACCAGGCTAAGTGTACTGTGTGAATGTAACCACAGTAAAGCCCTGGACCATATGGCACAGTGAAACGCGGCTGGTTGTATTAATGCAATGTTTCTCAACTTGGCAACTACAACATTGCTATCAGTCGGTGTAGAGAATGATTTACACATTGCATTATGCCATAGTTTTCCATGGCTTACTTAACAATCCACAAATGACTAGGTCCGCTGCCTCATGCCAAGTTTTAACCCATGGTTAGCAAATTGTGATAAGTGGATTCATATAACATGCTAAGCCAAACCCTGACCGGCCATATTCATAGCTGGTTTGAGCAAGCTGATTCAGTGTTGATCTCTCCTTAGATCAGTGTTTCTCAACCTTGGCAAGTTTAAGACGTGTGGACTTCAACTCCCAGAATTCCCCAGCCAGCTTCTGGGAGTTGAAGTCCACATGTCTTAAACTTGCCAAGGTTGAGAAACACTCCCTTAGATAGCTAAGTTTCTAGTTTCATGGCAGCAGGCAAGTCCACTAACTTCACAGCCCTATCCCTTAAAATTTCTGCACAAGACAGACAGGCCACCTTTGAGTTTTTCATTTTCCTGCATCTGACATGAGAAGCCAAAGTCAGTTAGTTTGATGTTCATATCATCATCTAGCAGGATGTTCTCTGGCTTGAGATCTCTATGGACAATGTTCATGGAATGAAGGAACTGGATCACTTCCAAAAGAGCACGCATGATTTTCCTGCAGAGAGAAAATGGCCTGTTCAGTTAAATGAGCAAATATCCAGAAGAAAAGACATACATTCCTGTTTCCCATGCCAAGGGCCCATGCTTGGTTCCTGCCGTTTCCCATTAATGAACCTTAGTTGGTTTTCCCTAACTTTCAGATGTCTTGGGAGATCTCCAACACATTAGGAGAGCATGCCAGGTTGGGATATCTTGACCTCACAGTCATTAGGTGTGAATGAAGGAGATTTGCATTTTTGGATGATGTCACCAGGGCTACCGGCTCTGGGCTGCCTGCCCAATTCTAGACAACCAATGATGATGATGATGATGAAGAAGTTGGTGTTGAGACTAGCGTGCAATTTGGATTTAAGTGAGGGAGAGTTGCACAGCATCGCCCTCACTCTCTCTTGCCAATATATTAAAGATATATTAAAGGCCTCCCTGAAGTTGCCTGACATAAACACGACCACCTGGGAAATGCTGGCACAAAACTGGCGTGGCCTCATCCATAAGGGCTGTCAAGCTTACGAAGTAAGGTGCACTGCAGAAGCACAACATAAGCATGAGCTGTGCAAGTCTAGAGCCATCACTGCAACAACTGCAGTGTCTACACGTTTGCCCAACATGTGCCAGGACATTCTGTGCCCGAACCAATCATCTTCGGACACACCTCATTTGGTTTTAATATGACTAATAGTGTTGAGGTCTTCATCAACAATGATGGAGGAACAACAGAGAACCACTAGATGGCAATAAAGAGATGCAAGAAATCCTATAATCTGTTTTCATAGAATTATAGAGGGTAAGGGTCAGAAGGGAACCTGGAGATCATCTACTTTAACTCCCTGCCTGATACAGAAATCCATTACTACAGCATCTCTAATCAAATTTCACCCTGAGCACCTCCTGAAATTGCTTGAAATCCCCATATTGAATTGAAAGGTGAATCAGCTGCCCAAGTAGAGAGAAGAAAACATTTCATACATGTCTCAAAGTATTTCATATACACCAAACTATGTCTGAGCTGAATCACAATACAGATCTAGACTAAGTGTGTTAAGCTTTGTTCCTTATTTTAATCAATGGGATTTCAGTCACAACTAATCTGTGTAATCGATTACACAGAGGAGGGAAGTTTTTTTTTTTATCCCACCTTTATTATTTTTATAACTCAAGGCAGCAAACATACCTAATTCCCCTTCCTCCTCCTATTTTCCCCACAACAACAACCCTGTGAGGCAAGTTGGGCTGAGAGAGAGGGACTGACCCAAAGTCACCCAGCTGGCTTTCATGCCTAAGGCAGGACTAGAACTCATAGCCTCCTGGTTCCATGTTTTGACAGATGACTAGATTGGCAGGTTGGTTGAAATATCTCACCTAGTTTCCTTTTCACTTAAGGTCACCTTCTCTGTAAGGTAATCAAAGAGCTCTCCTTTCTTCATTCTGTTTAGGGAGAAAAGATGGACATGTAGAATATATTAAAAATGAAGAGAGGTATAAAAATAAAAGGAGAAGGGGAAAGGGAAACTTCTGCCTCTGTGTTATATGTGACCAAATATCCTATTTCAGCTAATGCAGAAATGTGCCTGACATCTTTTGTTCCAAGTGCTGATGGATGGAGGGAGGTAAGATCGAAGCAGTCACTCATGCAGAGACACAGCACCAGCCTCTTCCAAGTAATTTGGTAGAATAATTGTTTTGAGCCCATACCTCACATGGGGCTAATAATAATATCTAATAATACCTAATGCTAAACTGAGCCAGAACCACCTATGTTGATTTGAAGAAAGCTAAAACCAAGCAGTGAGTTATCCAAGTATGAAGAGTCTGTGCTCACAAGAGCCTCTACTTCAACTTTCCTTGGCCTGGATTCTTCTAGTTGTATTGCGACTGTAAATTTCAAAATGCAAATTCCAAAATTCCTATCCATAGCCATGTCTGAAGGGCATTGTAGGAGGAGACCCATGTTAGTCTATGGTAGCCAAAAATCAGGAGTCTGATCCTTGTTTTGCAAAGCTGACTGAGAGATTGTGGAATTTACATACATCAAAAGGTTTCAGACCATTTTGGAAGATCTCAACAAAGACAATGGGTTGTTAATCTATTACATTTGTTAATTGATAAGGTACTTGTAATCTGCCTCACATGTAAACTGTATCTGCTTAACCACCTGTCTTCTTGCTTCCCCTCTTTCCCCATACCACCTCACCCCAAATTATATCCTACATCAATTTAATCACTCCATGCATATGAAAAAGTCAGCTTTAACTCCCAAAAGCTCATGCCTTTTAATAAAATGTGTTCGTTGAAATGGTGCCACCAGACTTCTCATCTGGAGGACACTGAATCAAGGGAGGCTGATTTAAATATTTCATTTATGCCGTTACTGTAAACATTACAGATTGCTTGAAAATCACTGTTCTACAAACTACTGTATATTATGAAGCAGTTGTTATATCCCTTTCTAGCCCTAGAGATTTTCCATTCTAAGGGCAAGAATCCTCAAATGATCTGTTTTAAACAACTTCTTGGATTTTGGAGTTTCTCTTCCTACGGAAGCCGTAACGCTGCTAGAGCTGTTTCAAGCGGTTTCAATACCTGAAAGTATTACACAAGTCCAGGATGCCTAAAAATAGTGTGGATCTGCGACAGCCGAGACCTTCGCAAAGGTTATGGGGAAATCTGAGCAGGCTAATGATACAGGAGTAGGAAGATGAGACAGCTGCATGCAGGCTTAGCTCCCTTGTGGGTGGGAGGCTTAGTAGATGGTGCTGAGATCAGCAGAGACCTTCACAAATGGTTGGACAAGCTGGCACAGATATCAGATTACAATAAATGGCTGGAGGGAAGAACGCAAGAAGAATTTAGCTGGAGTCGCCATGCTCCACCTTGCTCCTAAATGCTGTGCCCTTTACCAACCAGCACAAGGCCTTTAAGAAGCTGGCAAGCACACCTCTCTCCTCTCATTTGCCTAAGAGATAGACTGCTCCTGGACATGGACATTCCACTTAGCGATGAGGACTTCTTGTTATATTTATATCCCCACCTTTCCTGTATGATACAAAATGGGTAAACTACATACCTCTGATGCACCTTAATCCTCCCATCTTATCTGAGATACGCTAGGCTGGGAGACAGGGACTGATCAAAAGCAACCCAGCCAGTTTCTTGACTAAATGGAGATCAAAAATTGTTTCTCCTCATCTTAGTCCTACACAGTTATCATTTTTATTTGCATTATATTTTAACATGATGTGTGAACCCTGTCAACGATGGTTTATTCAATAAACAATGGTTAAAACAAACCATAACTAAAGGTGATGTGCAGACACCGCCAATGAGTAGACATGTATAGGATTGCTTGGTGAATTGGCATTGTCTCATTTTGTGTGGTGGAAAAAGGGACATCCATGATGATGATGATGATGATGATGATGATAAAAATGAATTTGTTTAATCCCCTTTTCAAGTACTCAAGTTAACAGTCTACATCTGGTGGTAGAAAATTCCAGAGTTGTAATTATGTGTTTTATCAAGAAGTGTCCTCTGGAGTAGGCCACTGATCTACTTCAGTGAGGCTCTTCCTATATTTCCTCATTGGTGATCCATGTGCCAACTCCAGCTGGCCAAAAGATGACGGTTGGCATCATTGTTCTACCTAGTTTCCAAACTGCTTCCTAGGAACGTACTACAGAAAGCACATGGCAATCATCAAGCTTGAAAAGTCACCATCGTGTGAACCACAGTGACCATTTCTCTCTTTTTTAGGAGGATATATTTGGCATTTCCCTCCCAAACGAAAGAACACTGGTACTTACAGATCAAACACCAGGAAGAAAAAAGTGTGAGATTCATAGCTGTCCTTCAGCTGGACTGGAAATAAAACAGGATATTTTAGGAATGTGAAATAACTTTGCAAACTGTTCTTGAAAACTAAGCAGGAATGGGAAGGTATTGAAGCACAGACCCTGGGCTGCATTGCAGGATCACATTGATGGTTCTGCCTCTCCTCCAGTGTGGCCTAGATCTTCAGCTAGACACCTCTGAGGCTGTCCACACAACATCAGCAGAAGATGCTGCTGCCTTATCCTGAGCCAGGCCAATGGTTCACCTATCCCAGCCTTCTCCACTTTGACAGTCAGTGACTTTCTAAGATCTCTGGTTTTGAAAAGTAGCAGAGTCTGAACATGGAACCTTCTGCATGAAGAGTGGTTGTTCTACTGACAAGCCACGACTCCTGCTAATCACATACTTGTATTCCTCATGAATGGCTTCAAAAATCACAAAAATCACCTGGCCTGATTTTAGTCTTATATCACTCTATCTCTGTGGTCACTAGGAGTCGAAAACAACTTGATGGCACATAATCAATCAAAAATAAGATCCATATTCTATAGCAGGGTTCCTCAACCTTGGCATGGCTGGCTGGGGAATTCTGGGAGTTGAAGTCCACACATCTTCAAGTCACCAAGGTTGAGGAACCCTGTTCTATAGCATTCCCAGCTGAACTTAGGGACACTGGGGGCAGAGCAGCCTAGAAATGTTAACACTGTAATAAACACATCTGACATAGCTTGCATTGTAGACATAAGGATCCACCTAGCAAGGATGAGAGCAGACTCAAAGAAAAAATCCAAAGGAATCATCTTCTGTAGGTTTATATTAATAGCACACACACACACATACATTTATATGATCTTGTTGTTATCCATGTTTGTCTAGGAAGGTTTGGGATGCCTTCCAGACCAGAAGATGCCAACCCATCACTCTGAATGGTTTCCTAGAATCAGCACAGGGATGATAAATTTGGTCACAGCTTTCCTTCATACTAGAAAGTAGCAATAGTTGGCATTAACTGGACGCTCTTTTTCCGAACACATACTCGTCCTCTTGAAATCATACCCTGCACTTTACAATAATGCTAATTCATCAGCAAACTGAAACTACAACACCTCTAGTCGTGCAAGGGGCCTAATCTGGACCACTGGATCAAATGAGAGTCCAACAGAGTCCAGAGAGGAGGGCTGTCTTCTGGAAAAGGCCGACAGTGAAAGTGGCTGGTAGATCAGGATGTTTTCTGGTTGATCCACAAGGATTTTGGATTTTCAACTGTTTAAAAGTAAGGAGAGGCTCCCAGAATTATAAATATCTTTGTAAGAACATTGTGAACTCTGCTCTGGCACCATCTTTTAAAAAAAAAATAACTTTGCTCCTAAAGTAAAGAATACTGTATATTTAAAATAACACATATTACTAGGCAAATTAAATGTATTGTTCATAAAAAATACAATCTAAGAACATTATCTCTTCCCCCCTGTTTTGCACCTGACTCCAGAACAAACATATGCACACACTCTTTCCTCTTTTTCTAACAACACTCCACTGTTATGCAGTTGGACAAAATACCTTTAAGAACAGCCTTCTAATTTAGGGAATGCTCATATGTATATTTGCTAGAAGATTTTGGCTGCAGTCCTTTGTTTATAGGAGTCATAACCAGCCTCAGAAAGTTGTATTATATTTGGCACCACAACAGGAGAGTCAAAGATGTTTATGTGGAAAGACTGGAAATCCTCTCCATGGTTCGGAAAGTCATGTTTAGTGAACCTTCAATCCAAAAAAAGAATCTGATATATTATATCCTTTGATCAACTTTCCCTATAGATGGATTGGATGGACTAGATCTCTCATAATCTAAACCTGCTTTAGGTAAGGAACAAAAGAACTGTAGTCCAACATTTTTGGAGGGTACTGGTTAGGACAGATGGCTTAAATTCAGATTAAATAGCATATAATCACTCTGTTTGCAAGACATATAAAGAAGGGTGACTACTTGGTGGTTATGCACGTCATGCAAACCCAGCCAATAGTAGTTTCAACTTATTTGTCCTCACTGGTTTATTGCTAAGGTACAACTAGGATGATTTGGAAGCAAAATCTGACTTACTAATGTTTGGATGTCCAGAAACTTTCCGGAGGATGTTGATTTCTTTCAGAGTGGCTTCCCTCAGCTCCCGAACTTCTTGCGGGGATAGATTCCCACCTGTGATGTCTATAATTTTAACAGCATATTCTTGTCGAGTGATTTTATGAATGCATCGACGGACAACACTGCTTACTCCTCTGAAAGGACAGTCCACATAAAAGGGATCTTAATTAGAGAGAAGGAGGGAGACAGACTCAAACACGCACACACACATATATGCACACACAAAAACACACATCTCTAAAAGGCTGTGTTACTCCTTTGTTGTTCACTCATGTTCAAAGTAACAAGAGGAATAGCAAGGATAAATGGGTTTGTTAAAACTGGCAGTTACTGGAAATGCTACCGCACCTCATCTGAAGAACTGAGAAACAAAAAAAGGTTTCATACTGAATTTATATCCATTTTACAGATCGGACAGTTTTAATCAAGTGACTATAATCCTATATATACTTAACTAGTACTAAGGTCCATTGAATGAGAGAGGATTTGCTTCTGAGTAAATACGCATAGGATTTCATTGTTGATCAACTATTAAATAACATGCTTCTAACTGTGTTTTAATATTACTGTTATTTAATCAAAACTTAATAGTTTAATGTACATTTTGGAAACACTGGATGGCTGGAAACCACACTGGTCATTTTCATGGATGATCTTTAGGGAGACTTGAATGGAGGGAGTGTGACCATCCTCATCCTCCTAGATCCCTTATAGTCTTCAGTACTATCAACCATAGTAGTCTTCTGGATCATTTACAATGGCTGTGCAATGGTATGTGGGGAAGACCTTGGGAGACTGGGCAAAGACATGCTGCCAAGGAAATGGTCAAATTAGAGGCAGCATAGCCCACAACTGGATAGTGGGCAGGGCAAGAGAAGAGACCCTCCCTAATTTCTTGGGCTGTAATGGAGATGGGGAGGGGGAGAATTGTATTTTCAGAATTGCAAGATTCTGTCAATGTAGCTTTACAATAAAGTAGAATTAACTCATCTGGTTATGATTCCTATCTGGTTTACCCCACGAGGCTGACAAGCTGGGAGAAGATGACAAACTTTTATGGTGGTTCCACTGCTTCCAAAATGGGCAAGTCCAATTGGTGATGGCAGGGAGGGAGAGATCAGGCACATGGATACCCCATTTGGTATCCTGTTTAACATCTACATGAAACTGCTAGGAGAGGTTATCTTCAAATTGCAGTGAGGTATCATTAACGATGCAGATGATACTCAGCTATATATCTCCATCCTGGGCCAAATGCAGTAGAAGTTTTGGCCCAATGCCTGGAAGTTTCAGAACCTAAATGGAGAGAAGCAGTCTCAAACCCAAGCAATGTGGAATGGCTGTTACTTCAGAAGCCTACTGATTCCAAGGCTCTACCAACTTTAACTCTTGATGAGATTGTGATCCCCCAAGACAGCAAGCTAAGAACTTGGGGTCTTCTTGGACCCATGTTCCTGCCAGAAGAGCAGTGTGAGAGACTGTGGGAAGGAAGTGGAGAAGGAGTTCAGTTTAGGTAAAAAATCTAGACCATTTGGAAATATACTGTTGCATTTTCTCAGTTTTAGAAAATAAAGTTTTTTCAGAATAGATAATAGACTCATTCTGAATCTATTCCTTAATATATCAGAAGAATAGGTTTCTTTCCATTTATGTAACATTATCCTCTTTGCTGGGCCCCATGCTTGGTAGAGCCAAAGCTCTTCATGAAATGACAGGTTCCATGTTTTAGGAATAGAGGTCAGCATCACATTTACAATTTTAGATATCATATTACTTTCCAAAACTATACAACCAGTCCTTGTTTAGAGACTACCTCAGTTAGCAACCGTTTGCAAATACAACAATAAACATAGTAAACGGTAGTAAACAGAGGTAAACAAATCATTTTTTGACAATATGACCAAATTTCTGCACCTGACAACAATGCACGTCAGAGTGAGAATAATGCTGGCACCACTGCACCAGAGAACATCTAAATGAGACAGCAGCAACCAGTGATCTTCGCAGCATCTCTGTCACATGGTTCACTTAGTGACCATTTTGCTGGAATGGATTATGGTCACTAAATGAGGAGAGCCTGTATTAACAATTCCGTGTGCTTCTTGCTTCTTTGGTTTGCCACATGGGGTTTGAGAAAAACAATGGGCTAGTCATGATCACTCATGGCCTTGCAATCTCCTGTTTAGATACCATGATTTGCTCTGCATGGGGCTACCCTTGAAGACCACCTAAACATTTAACTGGTGCAAAATGCAGTGGCCTGCATGTTTATTGGCTGTTCATAATACTGCCATGTTACACTTTTCTACTGGTATACAGATAGTCCCCAGTTTAAGAATGAATTCTGTTTCAAGTCTGCCCTTAAGTCAAATTTGTATATAAGCCGGAACAGTATTATTGTATAATACTGTAGAAGTACTGAACTTGAACTATTGTGTATTTAACTCAAATTATTGTATATTTAACTCAAATTTTGCTACAGTAGGCTCTGTTCTTAACTGTGAGTCGCCTATAACCCGAGCATTCTTAACCTGGGGACCCCTGTATTTCCAAGTACAATTCAAGGGGCTGATTGCTCCTTGTAAAGCCCTATGTGACTTGGAGACTGCCTTTCCCAGAATGATCAGAGGCTATTGGCTAAGGGTTTCCTCCTACTATGAGGTAGGAAAGGAGGCAGCCAAAAGTAGATGTTCTCAGTGGAGATTCCCACTCCTTTGAATAGTTCCCTCCCCAAGGAGAGTGGCCACCACTCTCATAGTCTTCCAGAAGCTGATCAAAACCTGATTTTTCTACAAGGCTTCCAAGGATTGCAAAGCCATCAGTGCCAAAATTAGTTTGGTATACAGTGTTTACTTCTATTGATCAATTTAACCCTACTGTTTTTATTATTAAAATCTGAACACTGCCTAAAGTCCATTTGGACTGAGGTGGCAGACAAACTGCATAAATAAAAAATAAATCAAATAAAAATATCACAACACCAAGACCCCTTTTTGTATTACTCCAGACCAAATCAGTAAATAGAGAGATATAATATATTGCCAGAGATATATCCTATGCATTGACCTGGATCTGCAATATTGAATACAGCTTACCTGGTTTAGAAATACTGTTTTGGAGTACTTCCTAAACCCATTTTATAGTTATAATCCTGAATAACTTGAATTTTGTCTTGTTACTTCTAGCCCCAAATCATTTACGAACATGTTAAAAAGTATCACCCTGATGTTGTGTATCTTTGTAGCCAAAAGTGATAAGTTTGTAGGCATTATTTTCATGAAACAGCAAAAGATCTTAACAGCAATGTAACTGCTAGAGCAA